ATCCCATGGTGGTGAGCACACACTCTCCTCTCCGGCTCTGCAGTTCCACCACCACAATTGCTCTCTTTTCTTTTGTCTTTTAAACTTTTTAGAGTTTTTTTCTGTTCTTTCCCCGCCCCTCTCAGACATGGAAAAGCAACTCACCTCTATGGACACCACAAGCCGAATTTCCTTCCAGTCAGCGATTCCGACAGGGCCACGGTAGTCCGTGTGCGTGGGGTCGACAACAGGCCATAGCTTTGACCATGATTGATCTGATTCCGCTGTCCGTTTGCCACTAACTGACAACACGTCATCAGGCGGTTTCCTCTGTTCTCCACCCTCCTCCTCCTCCTTGCTCATGCCCGTCTTGACTGGTTCTAATGTGTTCTTCGGTCTCCACTGTCTCCAAGACTGAAGTAGACTTTTGGCAAAAGCCGGCGTCTCGCTTTTCTCCGGCTGCAATCGGGAGGACGACAACAGATGCACTGTCTTCTCTTCTTCCGAATCAGCAGCTGGGTACCGAGAAGTTGTGATCTGTGTATCAGCCCACCCTGATCTGTCTCTACCTTCCTTTGGGCTCCTGCTGCTGTCAGTACTTCGGTTGGGGTTTTCATCGTATGAAGTGCCAGATTGCAGGGATGCGGACTGCCTTGGAGGTCCATACGATGTACCATCTCCACCCTTGTTCGAACTTCCGGCAACTGCCTGCTCCGTAGAATTACCGACAACTTCAGCTGAAACCTTTCCCCCATTTGATGCATTTCGGGACGAGCTCGTAGAGGAGGCTGGTGATGCTGCACTGCATGGGACACCCATGGAGGCCTTGTGAGCAGGATGCGGATTGCGACTTAGGTAGCCACCGGAGAACTCCTCACCGGGTCGTGCCAGTCGAACGCACAGGAGTACGTGTCCTGATTTTGTGTACTTGAGTGAATTGCTAAGAAGATTCACGATCACCTTGAGAGCGCATGCACGTGCAGGGGGGAGAGGAGAAGGGAGGAGAGAGGAGGAGGAGGTGGGGGGAGGGGAGGGCAAAGACACAGCGACACGCAAAGAAGAAGAGCTGTGCATAGTTATTGTAGGTGATTTTGCTTCATCATAAAACAGTCAGGCAAACGAATGACCACCACCGTCTTTCCCCGAATAGGATGCCCCGTCATTATAGCTGGACTTCCTTTCTAGATACACAGATAATTGCCGGACGTTCTATTCGGGCGAAGACGGTAGCGGGAGAAGAACACAAGGGAGGAGAGTGGTGGGTGACAGTGGGAGGAAAGAAAAGTGAAATTTTCAGAGAGAAAAAGAAATACTGAAGTGGTCCAACAAGTTCAGCGACAAACATAAATAAACAATTAAATAAGTAATAAAAGTTCAAGACTCAAGACCGAAGCTACAGTAATGTACAGACAATGCACACCAGTAAACATAAGAAGTGTAGAAATTGGAAACTTAAAAATTAAAACTCATCAGGACCATAAGGCCCTGACTTTATCAAAAAAAAAAAAAAAAAAAAAAAAAAAAAAAAAAAAAAAAAAAAAAAAAAAAANAAAAAAAAAAAAAAAAAAAAAAAAAAAAAAAAAAAAAAAACTCAAAACTGAAGTCGTGCGGGTCATCCGCTAAAATTGGAACGATACAGACAATAAAGACGACACGCATAAATCGACAAATGGTCCACCCAAAAAAAAAAAAAAAAAAAAACACCGAAAATCCAAAAAGCACGATTGGTAACAGCTAAAGGGATAGAGTCTAGGTTACCATTCTTCTTCTTCTTCTTCTTCTTCTTCTTCTTCTTCTTCTTCTTCTTCTTCTTCTTCGTTCTTCTTCTTTATTAAATCTGAACATCTTTGCATTTCAATTCACAATCTTGTTTCAAATGAGGAGGATGGAGGATGTTGAACATTTTGGCATGAGGGCATGGATGATGCATTTACGGACATCAGGCCTGCAGACAACGGTGGGGCCCGCTGTTGAGGAGGTTCAGAGAGGCAGAGGGGTAGAGAGGGGTAGAAGATGGAGGGGTGGTAACGTTGAAAAGGGGGTAGGGGTTTGGTTACCCACCTGTCGGAACCTCAATGGATCTCCCTTGATCAACAGTGGTATTTCGTCTTCAACAAATGCAGCAATCTCCACCGTCGGCTTTTCGGCCATCTGCTCCATGAACGAATTGAGGATGAAGTCAATCTCATTCCTGAGATCAAAAGCAATCGACTCCAATGGCATCTTCCCTGCCTGCAAAGCCATAGAGATAACAAACGCAGCTGCACAGATCATAAGGATGATGATGTGCCAATTGGGGCCCAGATGGGCTGAATCTGGCCCAATTCACATGCGACAAAACCCAACCAATTGGGTCCAATCGGGCCCAATTCAAGACTCAGGCCAAATCGGGCCCCAATTCACAAGAGACAAAACCCAGGAATTGGGCCCAATCAGCCCCAAATATCCCGATCATGCCCAATTAGCCCCAATCAGGCCCAATCAGTCCCAGTTCACAAAGAACAAAATCTGGCCCAATTGGGCCTAAATGGGCCCAATCTTGCCCAACTCAGGATTCAGCTCCAACAGGACCCCAAAACCCAGGCATTGGGCCCAATCAGACCCAATCAGCCCCAATCAGGCCCAATCAGGCCCAATCAGGCCCAGTTCACAAGAGACAAAATCAGGCCCAATTGGGCCTAAGTGGGCCCAATCTTGCCCAATACAGAATTCAGGCCCAATCGGACCCCAATGCACAAGAGGCCAAACCCAGCGATTGGGCCCAATTCACAAGCGGCGAAACCCAAGCAAGTGGTACGGCACAGTCATCAAACATACCAAGACTCAACTTGGTGGATCTTGTTCATCATCACTGTACCCAGTGCATGCATCCTGTTAATGAAATCTTCTTTTTTTGTTTTTGCTCCCCAGATTCCCAGGATAAATTTGAGCCAGGACCACAGAACGTAATGTATTGTTTTTTGAAAAGAGAATTTAGAGCTCAGTGACCCCTCAGTCAATGAACCCCGGATCTGTCGAAAGGACCAGAATTCACTTCACCACCCTCCCCTATGAAGCTCCCAAGCTTTTCAAGGAACCACTTACGCATTCTCCCCCAATGACGTCAGCCATAGCCGGCTCAATCCTTCCAGCTCCGCATGAAAACGTTTCCACCCTCCCTCTCTGATGAAACCACTTACGCATCGTCCCCAATGACGTCAGCCATAACCGGCCGATGCCTTATCTCACTATAGATTCACTCTGTACTTTCTACTTTAGGAAAGGTTAGGCAACATACTTTCCCACAGCCTATTGTCTATCCCTTATCCCTCTCGCCTCCTCCCCTCCTCTCACAGATTCTGCCCCTCTCGCTTGTCAGATGAAGTGTGGTTGAGCAAGAGTGGGCAATGAATGACCTTACTGTTATATCTGCTGAGTCTCTGAAAGAACGAAGTATATTTGGAGACAATGGAACTCAGCCTGTTATCTTGCACCAGAGAAGTCGGAATGTTTTCAATTTTACTTCACAACGTTTACGTATAGTTAATAATACCTACGCTGGTCGCCGGGCCGTCCAGGGCCCTGGACGTCGCCCGGGGAGGGGGCCGGGCCGCCTGGCCGGTTGTCCCGCTCGGTTGGCCACCGGGCGGTCCCAACACAAAACGCCTGGGGGGGGTCTCGAGAGGCCGAATCGGTCCAGGCCGACCCCCCAAGGCTGGTAGCACACGCCCACGAAAAAATAAAAATAAAAAAATTGTAGGCCGCACCAGGGCCTTTTTCTGGGCGATCGATTCTAGCCGCCAATCTGCAGAGATTGGCGCCTAGGATCGATCATAGAGAGAGGAGGTTGCCATTCGCAAAATCTAACCACACGCGAATGGCAGCCCCCGCCAGCATTCGAACATTTGAACTTTCGAATGCTGGCGGGGGCTGCCATTCGTGCGTTGTTAGACTTTGCGAATGGCAAGGTCGTCATTGGCGCGCCTGTAGCTGCGACCCCAAGGAACCCATGTGCGCGCCACGTCGCCGTCGGCCGCTCGTCCCACCGGTAAGAGCGTGTGTGTGTGTGTGTGTGTGTGTGTGTGTGTGTGTGTGTGTGTGTGTGTGTGTGTGTGTGTGTGTGTGTGTGT